ATAATTTGGCCACCTCATGAGAAGAGAAGACTCCCTGGAAAAGACTGTGATGTTGGGAAAGATTGAGGGCACAAGGAGAAGGGGACGACAGAGGACGAGATGGTTGGACAGTGTTCTTGAAGCTACCAACATGTGTTTGACCAAACTGCAGGAGGCAGTGGAAGACTGCAGGAGGCAGTGAGAGTGCCTGGCGTGCTCTGGTCCATGCGGTCAGGAAGAGTCAGACATGACTAAATGACTAAACAAAAACAACAACAAGCACGAGATGGAGATGGTTATCAGCCTAAAAAACCATTCTGTTGTTAAAGGTCTTTCTGTTTGGCATGTAGTCCAGGCAGGCAAGAAGATTTCAGAAAGAATGGAACGCTTATCTGAGGCAGTGTTGGATTGTGGGTATCCCTTAGTCACTGTTGTTAGGCATGGCCTGAGGGCGCTGGGAGGTGCTCTTTTGCCTGACGGACACATTGGGGTGAACGTTGGTCAACTTGTTACATTGGTTGAATCTGACTAGTTAATTCGTTTTTGCAGATCCTCAAGTTGTTATGCTTAATATAACCTGTTTATCCACATTTGGTTGTCGTGACTCTTCATTCTGGTGTGCTGGCAACATGCAAATTACTGTATCTTAAAACCTATGTTAGGAAAAAAAGATCATTTTCTTTTCTAGCAATATCATCCACGTATCATTGAAACACAGAATGTCTGTTTTCAATAAATTTTATATTGTATTGACCCTTCAGATAAACCTTTATCTTCCGAGCAACCATTATTTAACTTTCCGGTCAATAAATCTTGATTGAATGCCAACAAAGTCAATAGCTAACCATTATATAACTTTATAGACAAAGGTGTTGGCAAAGCTGGATATTTAAAGATCATAATACAGTATTGGTAAAAATACTTGTCATAGGTTGCTTGGAAGGATTTCCAGTCAGTTCTCTTCATATAACCTTTCAGCCTCTTCTTGATGTCAAAAGCACCTGTCTGCTCAATACAAAACAATAAAGAAAACAGCAAATAACAAAAAATTATTTCACACCAGTTGTCAGCTCAGTTGGCCATTTGTCAAGCGAGAAGACAATAAATCATCAGATGGAGTAGTAAAATTGTTCATCTTATCTTCTTTTTCTAGAGTGGCATATTGTGCTATTTGATGAAATGGCTTTAATCAAAGTTTGATCTGTTGCTAACTCTGTTATAAAATTTCCTACCAAAAGATGAAGAAGCACTCCATGTGAGATGAAATTTTGTGGCCTTCCCAGGCTTTCAGGTGACAAACTCATACTTGGAAGAAAAGCCTTAGGCTCAGGAATTGTTTGATGCTATAGAGATCCAGGGTTGTTTCACATGGAGGTCGCAGAGGTATTAGAGATGCCACCAAATTTTGTCTGAACCACAGTATTAAGGCAAATCTGGAGACCATTGCTGGGACAAAATATCAGCTGTATGTTGCTGAAACAGATAAAAAGAGTTTCAGTAAGAAGAGCAACATTTCTCAAGGGAAAAGAGGGTGTTCACACACTGCTATCTCTGCATATCTAACACACCAGAAAGATGGCATCACACTTTTACTATTTTAAAAAAAGTTTTATATAATGGGATTTAAGCTATTGTTGCTTTCTAATTCCTGTTGAATTCTTCAGTCCTCTAGACCAGTGTTTCTCAACCTTTTTTCAACTTTGTTTCCTTCCTGTGGTGTCCTTGTCCTACCTGTAGAAAAGTAGCTATTTTTCTTGTAAATAAATCATAGAATCATAGAATCATAGAGTTGGAAGAGACCACAAGGGCCATCGAGTCCAACCCCCTGCCAAGCAGGAAACACCATCAGAGCACTCCTGACATATGGTTGTCAAGCCTCTGCTTAAAGACCTCCAAAGAAGGAGACTCCACCACACTCCTTGGCAGCAAATTCCACTGTCGAACATGTTTTATTTTTATATGATTATATAAATTATATAATTTCACCTGTGGTCCCTTTGAACTATACGGGGGAGGGGGCCATGGGGCACCATATGGCCCCCAGTTGAGAAACACTGTTCTAAACAATTGCCTTAGAGTAAATTGAACTCAATGGGATTTATTTACTTCTGGATAACAACAACAACAACAACAACAACAACAACAACAACAACAATTAATTATTTATACCCCGTCCATCTGGCTGGGTTTCCCCAGCCACTCGGGGCGGCTCCCAACATAATATTAAAAACATGATAAAACATCAGACTTTAAAAACTTCCCTAAACAGGGTCGCCTTCAGATGTCTTCTAGAAGTCAGATAGTTGTTTATTTCATTGACATCTGATGGGAGGGCATTCCACAGGGCAGGTGCCACTACCGAGAAGGCCCTCTGCCTGGTCCCCTGTAGCCTCACTTCTCGCAGTGAGAGAAAGGCCCTCAAAGCTGGACCTCAGTGTCCTGGGTGTATGATGGGGGTGGAGACGCTCCTTCAGGTATACTGGGCCGAGGCCATTTAGACATGCCTAAGGTTGTTCATATGGGAACAAATCTAGTGTCATCAACACTATGCTTAGAAACCTAAATAGTTCTGGGACCAATGTGTGTGATTACATAAAAGTAATTAAATATTGGGCTTATTCCAGGATGTGTGTGTGGAATCATTGAAGAGCCTCAGAAATCACCTATCTATCACAGTTAGACAATGTTCCATGGATCTGTCAAGAGGCAATATTGGATTACTGGGTAATCATGGGACCCCCCTCAAACCCCATGTTTGAGGCTAGTGCCAGTGCTACTAATAGCATGGACCTTGCCACATATTTAGACCTAAAGATGTTGTTCTCTTCAGGAGATTGAGATTTAATTGAACACAATGCAAGTATAAATTGTAAGTCTTGGTACATATAGCTAAAGGCCTTGGGGGATATTGGTAAGTGTACAAGTTTGTTTTTACTCCTTTCCTGTTGGACTGATTTCTTGAGTGCTATAATGTATGCAGAAATTGTGCCTTGATGATGTGCCCTACTTTTCAAGGAGTATATTTAACAGTAATACAGCAGTAGATGAATGTGGATTCATTTAATAAGGAGAAAGCTCCTTATTAAATGAAACTAAGAGAGCATTTCCTGGAGACCCAGAAGTGTTTGGGTAAATGATGTCTGTCATCTGAAGATAATTTTCTTTTGTGTGTGGGCGGCGGGGGGGGGGGTCCCTCTGTTGAAGAAAACTTTTTATGGTATCAGTCTCTTGGTCACCATTAGGGTGAGTAGAATCCATTTTCACTGTCCTGTTACCAATTCCCATACAATGGATATACAACAACAACAAATTTTTATTATGATTGTAGACCAGCCTAAGGAGGGAGGGGTACGATCATTTAAAATCTAAAAGAAGTTAAAACAGAAAGTATATACAGTCTTACCTTGGAAGTCGAACAGCCTAGTTCTGGTTTTTGAATGTTCTTTTGGAAGCCTAGCTTCCTGCAGCCAATCAGAACTCGTGCTTTGGTTTTCGAAGGTTTTGGAAGTTGAACGGACTTCTGGAATGGATTCTGTTCGACTTCCAAGGTACGACTGTACAAAAGTCTATAAGAATCCAAAATAAGTCTAAAAGAAGGTTTAGGAAGATTAGACAAGAGTGAAAGAGCATAAAAGGTTAGTATATGTAAGACTATAGCTATCAGTCTAATACGAGTGCTCATTATATCTAGTTTGTGGCACAGGTCATCATCTGAGAAATTTTGAGTGCTGCTGTGCAGAATCTGGCAACGTTGTATGTTGTAGCAGGATTGGTATCTGAAAGCAGCAGGGAGGTATAGAATTGCCTGTGCGCCCTGGGTGCTTATGCAGTAATGGTAAGATCAGGCTAGTATGAATGTCTCTGTAATAAAGACACTGGAGAAGCACATGCTCTATTGTTTCTATTTGGAATGGGTATATAGTTCAAGCTATTGGGATGTTTAGCAACATCAAAGGTTGCCCACTCATTCAGATGAGTAAATGGGGCTCAGGGCAAGCATCAGCACTGTATCCTGGCAAGGTTTCGGGGGGTCCCTGTCAGCTGCCAGAGGGGGTCAAGTGCTGATGCTGGACCTATATGCAAAAATGGCTTGAAAGTTTGGTGTACAAAGTTGGTCGCTGAGCCCAATTTTCTGTATGAACGATTGCAAAATTCAGCTGTCCTGAACTCCTAGGTAACTGTGCATAGGAATGAAGTCTCAGGTAACGAGCCAAAACAACTAAGGCAACCCTCAGTTGGTGAAAGGGAATGTATACATTAGAATTATATGTAGCTTTTCAGTATATGAAGTGATGTTGCGCTGAAGCCCACTGACTTTGAGCTTTCCTAAAAAGGTCATCATGTGTTGGCATCGCTTTCACAATTTACATAATTACATAATTTCCCAGAGTCATTCATGAGAGTGCAGCTACGTTATCAATGGCAAACAAAACATGCTCCTGTTTCCAAAATCAAATTTTCTTTTAAAGACCTCACACATAAGGCACAATATTGCATTCATTAATAATTCAATTAAGCTGCTGCTAAAGCAATTATATGCAGTGAAATGATACTCTTTTTTGGCATCCCATCTGGGGTTCTTTCTGCTTTGCATGGATCAGATCAACCATATATCCATACATTATACTTCTTTGTAACAGGGGTGTTTTGCTTTGGGGTTTTTTTTAATTTCTACATACCCTCCAGCAAGCTGACTATCTAATGCTACCCCATTTTCCTTAGAAGGCAACAGTGCAGTGGGGGTTGACATTTCTTCATAATGCCGATATGAGCCATTTTCCCTCTCCAACAGATGCAGTACAGGGGAGACAGAAAACTGGCTGAATGCAAAGCAAAATTTGTTAGAGATGGTGATTGTTTTTTCTAACATCAGGTTCTTCTAAGGTGTCATTCTGTAGGTGAGAGAAGCTGTGAGAGTATCTGTTCCTTTTATGCCTTTCTATAAAAAAGTGACAAATAATACTTCTCTTTCCCCCCCTTCCTGCCTCTTCTCCTCCTTCTCCTTTTGTTAAACATCACAGGAGTCATCAGGACAGCCTTGCATAACATGGACAGAGAAGCCAGAGAACATTATTCGGTTGTCATTCAAGCCAAAGATATGGCAGGACAAGTTGGAGGGTTGTCTGGATCAACCACAGTCAATATCACCCTCACCGATGTCAACGACAATCCCCCCAGGTTCCCTCAGAGTATGTAAAGGTTTGATCTGATTTTTTTCTCCTCCTGACTAAACCTTTGCCTGTGTAATTAAGAGTTACATTCATTTCGGGGTTATTTGGTTAAGAAGCAGGATGAGCTGTGTGGTGTAGTGGTTAAGAACAGTCGACTGGTAATCTGCTGAACCGGGTTCGATTCCCTGCTCCTCCACATGCAGCTGCTGGGTGACCTTGGGCTAGTCACACTTCTCTGAAGTCTCTCAGCCCCACTCACCTCACAGAGTGTTTGTTGTGGGGGAGGAAGGGAAAAGGAGATTGTTAGCCGCTTTGAGACTCCTTAGGGTAGTGATAAAGCAGGATATCAAATCCAAACAAGTGAAATTAGCTAAGGGAAAGCTTGGGGGAGGGGAATATGTGACTGCACTCATATTGAGTTATACCCCAGTCAGATGATGATGATGATGATGATTTAGAATGGTGGACAGAGAGCAAAAAGAAAGGCATTTGCTTGTTTTGGCTTTTGCAAACGTTGAGAAATCTGAAAGTTATATGCAGAAGTCGCACGCAGCATGGTGCCATTATGCTAGCTTCCTGGCAGGGGGATCAGAGTTGCTGACCAGGAGGGAGGGAGGCAAATTGTCCAGGCAGTTAGGATGGTGCAAACACACTGTCAGAGCCTATCTGGAATTCCTACCACTGTGTTTGCATCGTACCAACCTCTCCAACTGCCCATCCTCTCCCTCCCAGTAAGCACCAGTGTTGCACCTACCAGAAAGCTAGTATAGCAGTTTTGCCGCTACCCATCAAACTGCTTCTGGTTATAATTGACTAATTTCAATAATGAATGGTGTTCACAGTATAATTCAAAGGATGGTTACTCAGAAGTAAGGCCTACTAAGTTCATTTGGTGTTACTAGTTAGTGCAAGTGTTTGGAACTGCAGACTAGCATGTGTTAATGACTGAAGAAGCATTATTTAGGCATTCTGAATTTTGCCTGCTCCATATCTTTCAAATACCAAGTGCTAAATTTCAGGCTGCAGATGTTTCTTCAGGTAGATCATAAAGTTTTTGATCTGGCCTCCTTAGAGAATAGTAAATGACTGATAGGACTTCATTTAAATGTTTAGTGTTCCAGACATTGATTTTCTTTCCTCGTATGAACAGATAAATACTCCATGCAGCAAGTTTCCAATGTACTTGAAACTAATTGCTCTTTATTTAAAAATAGCAAATGCTCTGTACCTTTTATTAAGGGCAAAGCTGGCTAGGAGTTGGAGAAGTTAGATGGTGAGTCTCTCAGCATGCTGACCCTGAACAATTTTCTCAGCTGGAAGCTAGACTAGAGAAAGGTAGGGAGAGACCAAAATAGATGCTTTGGGTGGCCGAAGTAGCTGGCTCAAGTAATAGATGAACGAAATCTGCTGGGATCCCTGCTTCCTGAATGACAATAACTAGTTTGACTATCCTGCCTCGCTTGAGGCAAAGACACTGGGTTATTTCGGGAGGGAAAACAAGTCCCTTCATAGAAAAATAGTGTTAAAAAATACAAGCCTCGGAGGACAGCATAGCATTTTTTCAATCTCCACTCTGCATGTGCTTAAGCCAGCGGTGAGTAGTGTCTGAAGGAGAAAGCATTCTGGGGGCAGGTTCTCTCTTTGGCGTGATAAATTTTTGACATTTTGGGACCTGTCCGAAGAAGATAGCTTTGTCATTTTAACATACTCTTTCAAATGGGTCTATATAGAAAGTATCAAATGTAGGGGACAGGAGGAATAGACAGGCAGAGTTCCACAATTGTGAGTATTAAATGTTGGCCTCATTTGTACTTAATGCTAAGTCAGACTAGGGTTAGGTATCTGCTGCATGGCAACCGAAGGACCAGAGAAGGAGTGAAGGAGCTGTGATTTTCTAAATGCACACTTGCGCCTTCAGGCTAAGCGATAGTTTGACTCTGTATTACATGCAAACCGAGCCACTGTCTTAAGCGAGTCAAAATGACAAGGTCCAGAAAGTTATAGAAAATACTGAAAAACATGACATACTTTATGGACAGTGTCAATGATGTTTATAACATTGTCATTCCATTCATGGATTTTATTAGGGCTGCTTATGTCTGGCCAGGATTTTAAAAAGACGGAATTTCAGGGCTTCCTAAAAAAATCTCAGCAAGCTTTGGGGTGTCATGGTTTTTACTTTTTGAAATATGGCAACCCTAGTTTTATGCCTGAACATTTTTCTGAAGATCTTGCTGTGAGTTTAATAAATTTAAATTGCCTCATTATTATTTCTTGCCTGCTGCTCCTTTTTATTTCCACTGGTGCACAGGGAAGCACACCTCACTGTCCCCTTGCCCATTCTTGTCATTCCTTTTCCTGAAGTCCAGGCAACTTGAACCTCAGCTCCCAGTTTGCCCAGTCAAAACCACCAATAGTGACATGGGTAGTGTCCACCTGATCTGCCCATCCCACACAATTCCTGCCTTAAGTCATTGTTAGAGCACTGTAAGATCAAGCCACATTGCTCTGCTAATGCATTAACAAGACCACCGTCTCAAAGGAATGAGGGAACAAGCTTTTGTGGCACACTCTTTAGTTTTGTAAATTACTTAGTTAATTAGTCTACAGCACTCTTTGACTGTGGGCCATTTGTCTTTATTATATTCAAAGGAAAAACAGGGGCATCATTTAGAGAGGAAAAGAGTCAGTCCCTCGCAGTGTTTGAGATACCAAGTGTTTATTCATTAGGAACACTCTTATCTTTGATCAGTTCACTAGGTTGTTGTTGTTGTTTTTACAACACTGTGTATTGTTAAAAAATAAATAAACTGTTCAGCAATGCTTATAGCAGCTTACTATATCGCAATGCTTACAGTAGCTTACTACTATTGGTTGGTTTCACTCTTAGAGACACTCCTAGCAGATGGGCTGGAGTGGTATTTGTGGAGGTTTAGCCCAGTGCCTAGGGCCAAACCTTCACATCTGTAACCAATAAAATTGTGGCCTTATTTGATCCCATAGAATCAACATTCTGTGTATTGTCTAATTATTTAATCCCTAGGGAATGGGTGGTCATGGGGCCCCGACACACAAGATATATTTCACCCTTCATCTGTAGATCTCAAGGCTGTTCACAGGATGAAAATACAAGATGAAAATACAAAATACATAATACATAATCAAAACAAGAACAAGTACAAAACAAACAATAACCTGCTTCCCTGCCCTGCCCCCAGATTTTTAAAAATTGTCTTGACAAATTTACTTAAGGAGGGCTACTTGTAAATTCTAAGAAACCACAACCAGTGTTGAAAAGCCTGTTTTAGTGGTTTTCTTCAAGGAAGTGTAATTTTCAAGCATGTGCCTTCTTTTAATAAGCATGGTCTTAAGTGATAGCCATTCGGTTAAACGCTTTGCTGAATTGAAGCTTGAAAGAATAAGTGGTGTAGTTTTTATGAAGATATGCTGTATTCTTTATGCATGGCAATGAAGTCTATTTCCTACTTTAAGTGCACAGCTCACCACAAACTTAACTGTGGAGTCGTAACTGGAGCCTCCATAATTATTTTTTTATGTGAGCAGTTGCTGAATGAATGTTATGTGATCGCAAATGAGAAGACAGGCGGTCTGTGAAATTGAGAAGGGGAGGAACACTGTTAAGGAGACAAATTGTCTTCAGATGCAGTCTACACCGTGGAAATGTAGAGACGTTTGCAGCATATATCACTCTAGGCTCCACTAGCAAACCAGGGCACCCATGAACAGCTAGTCTGGGGACTAATACGTGAGGCTCTCTCTCCTTTCATTAGAAAATTTGTGGCAGGGGTTTCCAAAATGACCCCTCTTACCTTTCTGTGACTTCCAAAACCAACCTAGAAGAGATGTATACAACTGTTTTGCCCTCAACCAGCCAGAGTATGTTGGCAGCCAAGACCCACACACAGGGAGAAGTCCTCATGGTCAAACCACATGTCACCTTCACTATAGCCCCATGGATGTATTACATGCATGTAGGGAATACCCATGTTGATGGTGGAACTTGTCACACTTTTAGTACTCCTCCCTGCCTTGAGGTCTTCTTTCTGTAAGAACCACATGTTGTGCATGAGTGTCTGTGGATAAATTCCCTCTTTGCAAGTAAGGGCTCTGTGCAATTGGGACACCCAGGTGCATAGCTGCCTCAATCACAGAGACCCCCTATATGTGAGCAAGTCCTGGCATGCTGAAATTTATCCACAGACAAGTCATGGTTGCTGCAAGAAGAAAGACCGATAAGGTTGGGGGAGAAAATTGATTCAGTTCTCATTTAAAGGTGAACCTATGTAAATCACACTGTCCAATACAGTGGTACCTCGGGTTACATACGCTTCAGGTTACATATGCTTCAGGTTACAGACTCCACTAACCCAGAAATAGTACCTCGGGTTAAGAACTTTGCTTCCGGATGAGAACAGAAATTGTGCTCCGGCAGTGCGGCGGCAGCGGGAGGCCCCATTAGCTAAAGTGGTGCTTCAGGTTAAGAACAGTTTCAGGTTAAGAACGGACCTCCAGAACGAATTAAGTACTTAACCCGAGGTACCACTGTACATGAATTGAAACATGGCCATCCTTTAAATTTCGCATGTCTCTGAATTTTGCATGCAGTTATCAAACCAAGTAATGTCTACAAAAGTGCATGTACTAGGGTAAAGTGTGCAGAACAATGCACATATTGCTGAAAATATTGAAGTAAAATTGTTATATTAGTGAAAATCAGTATTTTTAAAAAAATGCAAAATCGCATAGAGAAATGTGTATATTAAGAGAACTTTGCAGTAAAATGCTGGTGAATTTTCATGAAGACATTAAAAACAAACAAACGTACTGAACTTTAGATTGGAAAATTGAAAAACAGATAGAGGCTGAAATAGACAGATTTGCCCTACATGTAAATAATTCCACCCAGAAATAGAAGTACCCCATAACCAGAAACATTTTTTTTAAAAATCTGGTATTGAACTGGAATAAACTGTAGATGACTAACCCATACAGCCTTTATAGCAGAGTAATATAACAGGCCAAAATATGTCTAGGCAAGCCTGCCCAGGTATGAATAAGATTTTATTATTGCAAAAACAGTTGTAAACGATTTCTTCTTTTGTTGATTTTTCATGTTGCTTTGTCTTTATTTTACACTGTGTCTAATATTTTCTTGAGATATTTGAACTGTTCCTACATCATAAAGTAGGAGTAGGTTTCATATCTGGTCTGTGTGTCCTTTATCAGAGAAGCTTGGCTGAAATGTAGAGTTGCCATTTATTTTAACCCAGTTGATATTTTGCTTGCATATAGAGAGGGACACATATACAGATAGATATTGTAGATATAGTATTCTGCACATAGCCCATCCTATATCTTTTACCAAACTGTGGGAGAAAAAGGTCATCAAGACTGTCAAAGACTACATTACCATTAATCAAATTTTGTTTATGAAAATCCGCTAAAAATGGAGGTGCTAAAAATGACATAACATATATGAAACTCATGGTTTTATACTATGCATTGCTGATTGTAAATTGCACTGTATTCTAGGAGTTTTGCACCAAATACATATGCATAGAACTGTAGTCTCTGAGAAACGACAGTTATGGTGGTTTTCCACAAAGAGAAGTATAGAGAGTATTCTGTGATACATCGCATATGTGTGTGTGTGTGTGTGTGTGTGTGAGAGAGAGAGAGAGAGAGAGAGAGAGAAAGAGAGAGAGATGAGCACAACCTTTTTGCTGCTAATAATATATAGGTTTTCCTAAGGTTCATTCCTCTCCTATTCTTTTTGCAATATTTCCTATGGATATTAATTTTTTGAATAGTTATGTAATTATGCCCCCTCCTCATTTTCTCAAGATAGCATAAGTGAACTGAAAAGTGTTATCTCAGCTGCATTGCAAAAGCCATAGTAGCCATAATTGCACCTTTCTCAGCCCCATGGCTCTGGATAAGCTTTTATTTCTTTTTACATTAAGGTCGGCTGGTGGGGTGCATGAATGTTCATTTGAGATATAATCTGGTTTGGCTGAGTGCTATAAAGTTTTGAGTAGTAAAAGTTTCTCACAATTGCAAGACACATCATTGTGGGAGGAGGAGAATTCACTCCAGGCTTTTAAAATTGCTTAGCTTTTAACTCGGGGAAATTTACAGCCCTTGTTTCCTTGGCCATTTGGGAAGAGAGAATGAAGAGAGCACAAAAGTGTTATATTTTTCTCTTGCGGCTGAAAGATATACATGCTGCTACAGCTCTGAATGTCAAGCAATTCAGTGAAACAAAAGATTAGATCTTAGATGCTTTATGTTAATTTAAAATTTTGTTTGCTGTGTTTTAAATTACTTAACCTAGCACTTTCTTAAAACCCAATTGATTAGCATTTCAGAACAGACAAAAGAAAGCACCTTTTCACACAGTACATAATGAACCAATGGAATTCACTGCCACAAGGTGTGGTGATGGCTAATATTTTAGATGACTTTAGATAGATAGATCAGTGGATTGTCAATAGCTGTTGGATCTGTGCATATCAGTTTCAGAGAACGAACAACAGGAGTGTGCTTTTGCCTTCATGCTCTGTATGTTGAGTTTCCCATTCAGAATGCTATGCCCTGATGATTTAATCTAGCAGAGTTCTTTTTAATATTCTTAATACTTTATTCCTGTCAGAGAGCAGTGCTTTTCATTCTGTGAGGAAAAGCTTTCATAGCTAGGCACCACAGTTTAGTGAAATAATATTTGGTGCATTTGCACTAAACTCGGCGATCATGTTTCCCGTTTAGAAGAGATGTTTGAGAATTTGAAGTGTTATTGCAGCAGAATTGCTAGAAATGTTGCCTGAATATATTTTCCAGAACATTATCAGCTGTATGTTCCTGAGTCGGCACAAGTTGGTTCTGCAGTAGGCAAGATCAAGGCTAATGATGCGGACATGGGGTCAAATGCAGACATGAAATACACGGTCATAAATGGGGATGGCTCCGGAGTGTTTTCCATATCAACTGACAAAGAAACACGAGAAGGGATTATTTCCTTGAAGAAGGTAAGCAAAGCCTTTAGAAAAGGCTCACATGTGATAGATGTGAAATTCTCTTAGGGCTCTCATGGCACACAACCTTAGGGCCAAACTGGAAGTGACAGCAATAGTTCCATGCGCTTAAGCTCAGAGCTGCCTCCAAGTGTAGAAAGAGGAGCTGAGTTGAGCCTACATTTTTAAATAGAGAAAGCAAACATTGGTAAGGACTGTGATTTGCCTCCCAAGTGCTTTTATTCTTGAAAGCACTTTTATCTCCACACATGTTTATTTTGCTTTCCAACTTCTGTGGTTTCAGTGCACAAAATATTCATACAAAAATGCGTATTTTATCAGAAGATTCACCAAAAAATGTGTACATTTTACCTCAGGTTACATACACTTCAGGTTACATACGCTTCAGGTTACAGACACCGCTAACCCAGAAATAGTACCTCGGGTTAAGAACTTTGCTTCAGGATGAGGACAGAAATTGTGCTCCAGCGGCGCGGCGGCAGCAGGAGGCCCCATTAGCTAAAGTGGTGCTTCAGGTTAAGAACAGTTTCAGGTTAAGTACGGACCTCTGGAACGAATTAAGTACTTAACCTGAGGTACCACTGTACTTTATATTGAAAAGTGCATACAAAGAAGTATACAAAAATCAATGGAGTGCAAGCAACAAGCTAAGGGATTCAAAAATGCAGAAATCTTTCTCCATTATGTGATACCTCTTCATTGTTTATATTAATAAACAAGATGGTAGATTACTTCTTCTGCTTTTGCAAAAGACCCTTGTGGTCAGATGTGATTACTAAGCATTTCTGGTCACTGGTTGATAATGACATCACTTTATTTACCTGACATTATGCATTCTGTCTCAGTTTATGATATTGGATGTCATATCTGTACCAAGTATTGAAAAAATAATAATTACCATATTTTCCCGTGTATAAGACTAGGTTTCTTAACAAAAAAAAAAAAGGTTTAAAATTGGGGCTCCTCTTATACACGGGTAGTGCTGAGGGGGTGTTTTCTTAATTTGGAGCCCCCCCCCAAATAGGGGGTGTCTTATACATAGGGGCGTCTTATACACAGAAAAATACGGTAATAACAGTTTTTTGTTTTTTTAAGTATACAAATCAGAATGGAATGGACTTCTGACTGAACAGCAGTGAACCTGAAATGGGAAGGAATCAGACATTCCTATGTTATCATTGGCTAAGCAGCAAGCTGCTTTAATACATGTGTGTTGATGCCATGGAAGCATGTATGTGTACATGGGGTTATGTCGGAAATAATCAACTCCAGATGTGTCAGAGCAGGTCTTTTAGCAGGATTCAAGACTTCCTAACAGTTTGTGCTGAGTGTGACCTATTTTGTTGTCATAACTGTGCAGTCTTTAACACAACAGTGGACAAAAGTGGACCTTCTGGTATACAATATGAAAGTGGCCATGGCTTCAGAATCTCAGGAGGGCCATGATCCTTAAAGATGCAATGGACCTGTTTTTGAGATGTGTAAGGAGGACGTGATAAAGTACTGGTGCTGTGCTAAATGCAGACCTTTCTCCAAAGGGTGAATGCTGCATTTGGTCTTACATTATCAGAAGTGGGAAATGTCCATTTCCCTACCCCACATTTTGTCCTCGTGGCACAAACAGCAAGAGACCGTTTTTGTATTGCCACACGAAATATCAGGTGAGGCAAATCACTGACAGCTCAATCCTGTGCATGTGTGTGCGTGCGTGTGCTCAAAAGTATGCCCTGTTGAGTTCAATGGTACTTACTCTCAGGTGAGCATATATAGGATTGTAGTCTTCAGTACAAAAGGGCATGTGGCAGTGCTGGGCTAATATTATGCTTGGGCTGCTGAAAATAAGCACTTCAGAAAAGTGCTTCAGAATTGCCTCTTTGGGGAAAAAAAATATTTAGACTAACCTTCCCTCACCCCACTGCAAAAACAACACCACCCTCCTGTATACCACTTACCGGTATATCGAAACAATCAAGGAAATGCATGATACAGAGAAATCTATTAGCATGCATATTCCTCCTTGATGTTTTATTATTCTGCATGCACCAAATTCAGTGCCATTCCACAGACTAGCTAGAATAAAAGGAATATATAAGCACTGGCCTCTCTTAGCCTTCTTTTGAACAGCGTCAAAGGGTATCCCATAAAATATGCCAATATTAAGAAACAGCACTACATAAACTGAACCACTTGGGCCTCAATGTATTGTAAATGTTGATCCCGTTGATAAAGCTGGTGGGAAACTATAGAAACCACTGAAAGATCTCATGATCTCAAAAGGCTGTTTTATATTTGTTCCTTCCTATCAGTGGCAAGAAACCATTGCTATTACTCATCGAGTAACCTTCTAGCAAATTATGGCAAGTGTTGCTCACTGCTGAAAACAAGAACTAGGAATGGGGAGAAATTTATTCCCCTTTTCCATTTAAAAGTGAACTTAACTCACCTGCACTTTTCAAAACAGTACATTAACAAAACGAAACAAAAACAACCATCCTTCAGAATCTATACTTCTCTGAATTTGACAATGCAGTTCACCACCTAGTATGGGTCCATCTGCCCTATGCTTGGTTTTTGGACCAGGACTTCCACGGGGTCCCCTCTAACAGGGTACCCTGAATACACAACTGATACAATATTGGGTGATATACCACTTCATCTCATGATAGAAGACTAGGATTCCACCCAGTGCCTTAAACATTTGTGACATTTTGCTATGGAAAAGGCAAAACATTTGTTTACAGGTAAATTCCTTCTTGGCTTCAAATATGACAACCATTAGCAACCATTGCAAGGTCAGGAGGTACAAAAAACCCCCTTTGGTTAAACCAGTAAGACCTAGCTAAAGGGAAAACGACACTAAGCAGAACCTGAAAATGAATATAGATTTTAGAAGCATGGTAAGAATTGGCCTGAAATGGAAACAGAATGATAAAAAGAAGTGGGTAGGAAGGTTTTGCTCTTCAGCCAACCGCACTGTGGAAGCCACACGCAGCCAGCCTTTTAAGCCTCACTGCCAGGCTGGGCAGGGCAACAGCCAATGCCTGGGCAGCTAGCAAAGCACCACCCTCCAAGCGGGACCTCTGGTTGGCCTATTCACATTTTCCCTCTTTGGCGGGAAGACTGCACCTCAATACCACCGGCCAAGGGGAATTCCCCAGCAGCAACCAGCAGGCCAGCATGCTCTAGATGTCAGGAATGAAGGTGGAGCACAAGGGTTCTACACCTGTTCCACCCCGTAGATGCAGAAAGAGGCCACTCCTTTGCTACAAAGGTATCTTTCTGAACTTTGCCCGTGCAGAATCCTGTAGGAACTGGATCCTAACACCCCTTACCAGTTTTTGCTTCATAGGAGGATGCTGAGCCAACCTACTCCCATCTGAGTTTTTATGGGTACGGTGATAATCGAGGACCATAGGATTAAGTGTAAGGTTTGCAAGCTTCACAGACCAGTCTTTCAGAAGGACTGTGCACTGTCAATTAGGCAAGTTTCCTTTCACGTTACATAAGCCTCTTGGTGCCTTGGGGATCAGGCAGGATATAAATCTAACACACTAGGTAATACGTAATGATTAGTGGTATCCCAACCACATTGTCATGATTGTTGTACAGAATCATTGTAATTGGGCCACCCAGCATCCTTACAGGCCTAAGCATCCATTAATTACATCTGCCCGATTTAATTTCAGATATATTCTGCATTAGTCCAATAGATATTGCTGTAAAACTGTTTCACTTTAATAGTTTGTGCCTTGCCAGGGTAGCAAGGGGTGCCAATTCAAATAAAATATGGGGGGCAGTGCACACATCTTTTTCACGAGTCAGGTGCAGGTGGTTATCTCATTGCAAACTCAAGAGTGTTCATTTATTTCCAGGAGTCAGATGCCATTATGCACTTAGTACATAGTTTCAAGCTGCAGGAAGTGGAGGGGTTAAACTCAGCATTACCAAAGCCTGCCACTATAATACAGTATAAAGGTGCTACAGGTAAAGTGCAGTAAAGGATGCTGTGATCAAGTCTGTTCAAACTTTATTACATAAGCAATTCTGAGGCTGGAAAACCCCTCTCTGATGGTGGAAATAAGGCAGCGAAATAATGCGTTTTGTGAAATAACTTAAACCCAAACTCACAGTGGTAATGTGAAATTTCTTTTCTTCCCACAGCCACTGAACTATGAAAAAAAGAAATCCTATACTCTTAATATAGAAGGAGCAAATACCCACCTCGATTTCCGCTTCTCACACTTAGGACCTTTTAAAGATGTAACTATGTTGAAGATCATTGTTGGGGACTTGGATGAGCCTCCATTGTTCACTTTGCCTTCCTATGTCATGGATGTTTACGAAAACGCCGAAATTGGGACTGCGGTGGGCACAGTTACAGCGCAAGACCCAGACAGCGCGAACAATGTAGTAAGGTATGCTAGTATATTCATAGATCTTCAGTTAACTAAAAATAGTATGGGGTGGAGGTGGGGAAACCGTGAGGTGGGAAATTTGTAGTCTTCATAAAGCTGTACTATGGAAAACTTCCTCGATCCCTTATTAAAAATGAGAAGTGTTGGAGCTTACACATTTTATTATTGAAGCATGGTAGGTCAAATGTAATCACAATTTCTTCAAGAAAGTAAAGTTGGGTAAAAATAAATGTCCCACATATACGCTAACAATAGAAAGGGTTACTGAAACTCAGAGACTTGTTGCGACTTACCTGCTTAATATTAGTGACCAGCGGGAGCTGGAACAAAATTTGGGGCATCAGCCTGCCAGACATGGTCTTCTGTATTCCAACTCACCCACCCAACCACCCACGGTTTTCTGTTTTCATTTTCTAGCTAAATCTCAACAGGATCGCTCTTCATTGGGCTACTTTTGGGGAGGGGACTATTGATTGGTTGATGGTACTTTGGAAAACCTTGGCATTGCCCCAAAGATGCTTTTACTTATCTGTTGTTTCTCAGTGCCTCTGGCTGGCTACAATCCTACTGACTCTCGCCACCAGAGTTTGCTTGGGAGTGATACAACTTTGTTAGCAGGGGTGCCAACTTGAATGAAATATTGGAGGGCCCAGGTAAGGCCTGCCCCGTATAACCGATCACAAAATGTGGCACATGAATGTCAAGGCCCATTAACTTTGGGAGGGCTGGCCCCTTCTCAAATATTTTATTGGAGGAGGCCGAAGGGACCTCAGCCCCCTAGGAGTTGGCTCCTATGTTTGGTATCAAAACTACTAATCAAGTTGAGAAAGGAATAATAGTTTACTGGTAGAGCACATGCTGAATCTTTAGTATCTTACATTGAAAGGATCTCAGGAGGAATTGGGATGACACCTGCTTGGGACCTTTCTAGACTACTCATAGAGTAAAGGTAAAAGTTAAAGGACCCCTGGATGGTTAAGTCCAGGCAAAGGTGGCCATGGGGTGCGACGCTCATCTCATTTTCCGAGTCATGTGGCCAGCATGACCAAGCTGCTTCTGGTGCAATGGAACACTGTGATGGTAGCCAGAGCACACAGAAACGCCATTTACCTTCCCACCGCAGCAGTACCTATTTATCTACTTGCACTGTACTTGGCTAGGTGGATCAAAATTTTGATTCTATAAGGCAGCTTCATCTCTTCATATAGTCTCCTACAAAGGAAGAACTAGGCATTTTTGTCCATTCCATATGGCATATATTCCTGGGCTCAAACCAAATGCATCATTTTGCTTACTGTTAAATAATGCATCACTTTATACTTATTTTTAAACAGTAATAGATGGTGTATTGAGTAGTGTGGTGACACAGAATTTGTAAAGTTGTTCACTTATAAGTATCAGGCAAAACATTTTATGATGGGTTTATTGGCATTAGGAGCATACAAAGAAAGCTCTCGAGAAGCCAAATGCCTGCCATTATGATGAATGGAGAGAGGTCATATATATTGTAAGATCCCCCATGTGTAGAAAGATGTTCAAAGCACTGGCACATTGTGTTTAATGTGCCCAATGCCAGACATAGATATGAGGGTTTTCCTTCACTGTAATGGAGTCTTAGCTGAAATTTTTACTTTTCTCCCATATGAGTTAATGGCACTGCTTACTGATATGGAGGAGACAGAACATAAACTTGCGAAACCAGAGGCATTAGTGATGTGGGAGTTAAAACTATTCCTTGTCTCTGGTGACCCAAGTGTCCTGCAGAAGAGCAGCTTCCGCCTCCCCACAAAATCCACACTTTTCCCCACCATCAGTCCCTTTTTCAATGGGAGAGCATGTGCTTAATGGTTAAAAAAGGTAGGTCGGTTGTGTGCAACAGCTTGGACTTTTGTAAAGAATCAGACAAACATGCAATATTCAAAGATTCATTCTGCACAACTTATAATAACAGAGTTTAATACAAAGCATCAGCTTGAAGCCCCAAACCATGAAATCATGCCAGTGTTGCGGGGATGTTATGATGGAGTTGCATAATGATGCAAATGTTTTAAGATTAGGGTTTTAAGTCTCCAAATCTGAATCAACTTTCTTTCCCTAAAATGAAAATTGCATTGCTTCTTCCGGCTTAGGTGAAAGATTAAACCTAGCATTATGTCTTTAGTGTGCTAGTAGGTTTGCTTGTTTGTTCGGGATCCTACGGGAAGTGGGAGGGATTTTTCTTTTTAAAAAAATAAAGATTGTGTAGCTGTCTCTAAACAATTGAATGTTGAGGGTAAACAAACGCTCTAAATAAGCGAATTCGGAGGGTAAACAAACCAAGCTAAGATTACAGTAAACCCTTTTAGCAAAAGGTATGCAAATCTGTAATGGATATATGCTGCAGTAACCTAATCCTTTTATTATGAAAAGGTTGGAAATTATTTTCTGGTTTTCTTTAACAGTGTGGGAAAGTATTGTTAGATACGTTTCTAACTTTTAATGGTGTTTGTGTGTGTAGATAGATAGATGATAAAAAAGGTAAAGGTACCCCTGCCCGTACGGGCCAGTCTTGCCAGACTCTGGGGTTGTGCGCCCATCTCACTCAAGAGGCCGGGGACCAGCGCTGTCCGGAGACACTTCCGGGTCACGTGGCCAGCGTGACATCACTGCTCTGGCGAGCCAGAGCCGCACACGGAACACCGTTTACCTTCCCGCTAGTAAGTGGTCCCTATTTATCTACTTGCACCCGGGGGTGCCTTCGAACTGCTAGGTTGGCAGGCGCTGGGACCGAGCAACGGGAGCGCACCCCGCTGCGGGGATTCGAACCGCTGACCTTTCGATCAGCAAGCCCTAGGCGCTGAGGCTTTTACCCACAGCGGCATCCGCGTCCCAGATAGATGATAGATAGATATTAATTAAAACATATCTTCTATATATGGTTTTATCATATATAGCTGAAGGATTAGCATGAAATTTTACAGGATCCCATTTTTTAAGATTCTAAGACACATTTTCACGCACTGAAAGTCAGAAATATTTGCTGTTTAACAGTACCCCGCTTTTATCTATTGTCAAGTTACAACATAGCCAATAGTTCCTGTCATTCTCTTATTACACTTGAAATGTGTAAAACCCTCCCAAGAAGTATGGCTAGTATTATTGACATTGATGTTGCCAGAATTCATTATTATTTGGTCTGGAACACAAATCTCCAGCTCTTAAAGCTTGGCTGCATTCTGAATCAGCTCCTGAGAGGTGTGTTCTGGTTTTGAATGTTAGCTGAGCTTCTAGGCATGACCAGGTCATCAAGGAACCAAAGGATCCATGATCTTCAAAGGCACCTGAGGGTTCAGTGGGTTTGACTGGATACTATGGGAGCTACATGTCCAGCAGTTCCTTGCATCTAGGATTTTTTCATGAGCTTGTTCCTTGCTGCAAGCCAGGATGGGACATGAGGTTGGGAGGCTGGGACAATGCACCTGTGCCCATGGAGCCAATCTGCCATCCCTGCAAGTATGTTTGCACTGCTGCAATTTTGCACATTGCAGGAGGAGGAGAAAACCAAGCAATTTTTACCTGGGGCAAGTGAGATTGCTCATATTAGATGAGCTTACCTTTGATTTTACCTGTGGGGGTTTAATCTGTCGCTAGTAACTGAAACACTTTTAGATATTTTAAAATAAGATGTTCTGCATGAGAAGAAACATCCAAATTTGCATCAAATGTCATTTTCAGATTATTTTTAGTGACAGCCTTAAGGATGCAAAGAACAATTTTACTGGCGTTTTTGGAAGTCTTTTTGCCTTTCTTTGGAATTGTAATATGTTTGCTTCAGAAAACACCACCAAATTTCCATATGATTTTTCCGTAGGGAAATTGCTCATAGTAGCTAATTGCAACATAGTATTGACATAGTATCAACATAGTATTGACATAGTATCAACATAGTATTGACAGCGGGTGGCGCTGTGGGTAAAACCTCAGTGCCTAGGGCTTGCCGATCGCATGGTCGGCGGTTCGAATCCCCGCGGCGGGGTGAGCTCCCGTCTTTCGGTCCCAGCTCCGGCCCACCTAGCAGTTCGAAAACACCCTTAAGTGCAAGTAGATAAATAGGTACTGCTTTATAGTGGGAAGGTAAACGGCGTTTCCGTGTGCTGCGCTGGTGCTGGCTCGCCAGAGCAGCTTCGTCACGCTGGCTACGTGACCTGGAAGTGTCTCCGGACAGCGCTGGCCCCCGGCCTCTTAAGTGAGATGGGCGCACAACCCTAGAGTCGGACACGACTGGCCCGTACGGGCAGGGGTACCTTTACCTTACTTACCTATTGACAAACTAACATTTTTACCCCCAGTTATTATAGCCATTTTTCGTGCAGTGTGCTGGGTTCTGCTTTTGAGTAAACTACTTGATTCTGGAGTTTATCTGCCTGCCTTACAAGGAAACTGGATCTCTTAACTTTCCTAATATATACAAAAATTTAATTCTGATTTTTGTTAGTAATTATATGCTATGATTTCCCCCCAAAGAAGACACACACACACACACACACACACACACACACACACACCCCGTTGTATCCAATGTGAGCCATGCTCAGGGTACACCTATTCAAATTAGTGAAAGAGACTAACTTAGGTCAATTAATTTCACTGTATCTTTTCTGAGTAAAATTTTGTTGGATACAACTCAGAGTTCATTGACCAATCGCTTGTGAGGAAAATGAAGGGCTCCTTAATGAATAAATGGAAATTGTGACCTCAATTTTGTAAAGTTTACAGAGTTAGGTGCCCTTGGACTGCTGGACTTTTCACTTTGATATAGACAAAGAGATGATAAGTTAAAATGCAATTAACTTATCTGAAGGTATGCTAGCTATTCCACTCTAATTGTCTTTCGTTCAGCTTTCCTCTCCTTTCTTTTTCCTCCTTTTATACTTGCTTTCTTGGATTTCAGTATTATAATTCATCAAATTTTAGTTATGAGTTCAACAGAGCATACAATGTCAGCTTCCATGTCATTAGAT